CCACAGCACGACCTGGCCCCCCATACACACACAAACACCAGGATTTCACACAACGGGGGTTGAGCGGCTTGTCTCTCACTTGCATGAGAGGGCCGTGGAAGGTGCTGCTTTAGCCCGTCCCCAGCCCACCAGTCCGCCACTCCACACAACAGACACACAACGGGACGAATTGCGTGAGCCGAGAGCGGGCGTCGAACAGCAACCTTCCTATCCACGACGCTTGACGTGTCGGGATAGTCTCGGACTCAAGTCACCCGTGCAACCGAAGCCGCATGGGGACCGAGTCGAGAGCACACTTCCCACTTGCGTGGAAGGTGGCAGTTGGTGCATGCGGTGGGTGAGTGTTGATGTGTGTTGTTGATGGTGGAGGAGGGTAGGGAGTGAGTGTAGTGGAGAACGACCGCATATGCCGAGGTCCGCGGTCTCCGTCGGCGTAGGTGGGCGCGTCTCAGCGAAGGCGATGCGGGGACCCATCCCGGCAGCAGCTGTCCAACGGCGTACTATGCAGAGCCTCGTCTCGGCGACGCCGGCGCAACGTTTCAGCCGACCAAACGTCCAGCGGAGTCCGCAGTACACTGTGCACACGGCGCAAGCGCACAGCGCCCTTACCTGGTTTAGCCCGCCGGTCGAGGCGGTTGCCCGGGGTGTGGCCGCTGAGCAGAGCCCAGCTACGTGGAGCCACAGGTGAGAGTTAGGTGCCAACAAGTGGACGCTAGGCATAGTCTCACCTGCACACACACACACGCACACACACACAAGTAAATGTGTAGACTGAGTGGACTAAATTGAAGCGTCAGTCGGCAGCCTTCTCAGCAACGTCACGCCGTACTATGATAGTCTCAGTCTTGGAGCACACATCCAGTAGAGCACCCACATTGAGGACCGAGAATCACATTTCTCGATTGCGTAGAATGTGGCGATTGCGTGCTTGTGTGGTGTGACGATGGTTGATGTTGTGGTGTGGTGCAAATGAAGGCGGACAAAGGCGGGATAGTGTGCTACAGCCGACGGTCATCTACCGCAGGTTTCCATGAATGCGCATGTGACCTAGTAGGCCCATGCGGTGGGCTGGATGTGCCAGTTGAGGCGAATGTGCCTGGAGGACCAGACACCGGCTCACCAGTCTCCGTGCGATGGAGTAGCACGTAACCGACCATGCCAAACGTGCAACCCCAATGAGGTTAGGCTGGGACTGAGTCAACATCGTTGGACGTGAATGTGCTGATGGTGACAGTAGCAGATGATGGGATGTCGGACGACGTCTTGCCGGTGGGGGGAGTGTGAGATCTCGTGGTGTTGGCGGGGCTGGTTTCTGCGGCCGACGTGGGAGTTAGGGCGGGACGAATGATGTCGGTGATTGATGACGACGGGGTAGTGGCAGTGTAATCATCGGCGACGGGGGTGACGGTCGACGCGGGGCTGGCGGCAGGGGAGGGAGTGGATGGAGAAGTTGACGCTGTCGGGATGCTGGTGGATTGCGTCCGAAGGTGTGCTACGTGGCCGATTCGCACATGGAGTGTTCGTTGGCAGTGCGAACATGCTGGAAGTAGCTGACTGTTGGCATTAAGGAGTCTAGGCGCTAGTGAATTGCCAGCCTCCCTTTTGCCTTTCGCGATGATGACCCTATTTGCTTCGTTGTGGATACTTGTGCTGCTGGAAATTGTGCTTTCCAGGTAAGCGAAGTTGTCCACGGTTTTGAGTTGGCTGCCGTCGACATGGATTAGAGGAGTACTGTTGTGTTGCGAGTTGGGTGACGGTTGGTGAATGACCACCGTTTTGTCCTTGTAGATGGTCAGTCCGGAGTGGGAGCAGCCGGCGACGAAGTGATGCGTGCTCCGTCGCATGCCATCTTCGGTCGTGCTATTAAGTCCGCAGTTGTCAGCGAAAAGCAGATCGTAGATAATTGTTGTGGAGGGATGCGTCGGGGTTTGCATTCGCCGGCTGTCAAGAAGGTGCCCGTCCGCCCTGTAGTTGATTCTGATCCCGGAGCCCTTATCACGTTAGATGTCCATCAGCATGACAGTGAACATGAGTCTGAAGAGGGTGGGCACGAGTACGCAACCCTGCTTCACTCCATTGTTCACTTCATTGGCGCCTCGGAGTTGGCGCTGTTGTCCGTGACGCGCGCAATCACCCTGTTGTGCAGCGGAAAGAAGAATAACCGCGTGTGGAGATACACTCACGGATACCCTCGCCTGGTTTAGCCCGCCGGTCGAGGCAGTTACCGAGGTGTGAGCGCCAGGCAGGGCCTACCTTCATCGAGATATGAGAGTTGGATGTCAGTTAATGGACGCTAGGCGTGGTCAACAGCTTCAGAAGAGTGAGTGACCTACTACGACAGTCACATGGACTTACAACTGGACACCCCTACACTCCTCTTCGTTCCTAGCAGAGTAGCGACGCATGCGACACGAAGCCAGGAGCTCAACCGCCTGACTTCACCCGATGACGCACTTTATCTGGCTGTCTGAGTTCTCCATTCCATTATCTCATATGTACTTGTTAAAATGACAGTTTGTGCTGAGGTCGTTTGTTGGTGTTGTAGTTTTTTCCACGAACGGCCAATACTGTTTTATTCCAATTACTGATTTACCAGCAGGACAGCGAATTTGCAGATGTCGAACCTCATTCCTTGTAGCGGCAGTGCAAGCATTGCCGTGGCAGCTGAGACTCAGTATTTAACGCCTACCTACATCGGTTGGTTTAAAATGGACAAACAGAAATCAATATATGTTTAATGAGCAATACAGCTTCATAGAAACAAGTGGAGATCGGTCTCAAATGAGTGGGAGTGTCCTAGAAGCCACATTACTGGGCAGCTATTGCAGTCTGACTCTCCATCTTGACAGGAGGACTGAGTTGTTTCGTAATGTTGCAGCCTTCTTTGGCGCAGCTTTTAATGTACTGTGGTAGTTTGAGAGTGCGCCAGACTTGCTATCGTGAGTAATGCGTTGAGCTGCGATGGGGATGGATTCCCTAGAGTCGACCTCACTCTATCTTTCCTCCCTCAGGCACCAGTCTAGTGTCCGAGCCGGCCACTCATCAGATGCGGGGGTCAGGCACAACTGACTGACAAATTTAGGCAGCTCGCCTGCGCGCGCCACACACGGCATGCCCCGCATCACAAGCACACCGGGTTTTCACACAAAGGGCGTGGGCCGTTTGGATCTCACATGCGTTATGGTATCATACAGGCCCTATGGAGGAGTCGAAGAACACGCTTCTCACTTGAACAAAAGTTGCCTTTTCCGTGCCTGTGATGCATAATGTGGGGACGAGTTCGTGTGAAGTGTGTGTTTTGGTGGGGATATGTTTAGTGATTGGGTTTAGTCGGTAAGTTATTGCAGATTTTCATAGAGGTGCATGCCTTGACTAAATGTGCGTGGGCAGTTGAGGAGGATGTGGTGGGGTTCCAGAAACTGGCCTGACCGTCCCAGTGCTATGGATCCGCAAGTGGCTGGTCAAGCCAATGTGAGCTGTGAAGGTACGATCGTAATGAGGACAAATTAAGATCGAGTCCGCAATGCTGGTGGTGGAGGCGGTTTTGCTAAAGGTAATGGTTTACTTGACGTCGAGAGGGTTCAGGCCGGTAGTTGGAGGGGATGGGGTGATAAACGTCACCTCCGGGGTTTTGGAAGTGATGGTGGGGTTGGTGGGCCGTGGAGGTCTGAGGGGTGACATACCAAGTGTGCTCGCCATTGGTGGTCACGGTCGCGGTCGAGGGCGTCGTAGAATTGCGGCAGGTGTGACGATGGAGGCGTTTGCGAAGGCTGTAAGTGGAGTTGTCATATCGTTGTTGTTTTGGACCCAGAGATGTCAGATGAGACTGTCCTGCGCGTGGAGTGCTGTTTGGCGGCGGAGACACGATGGTGAAAGTTAGGTGCTGGTATTATGGGTCGGAGGTGCTTGAGACTTGTAAATCGATCTTTTGTTTTTGACTGCGACGCTCCGACAGGCTTCTAGATTGTTGTTTCAGTCTTTACTACTCTTCTCTATGCCGCTTGATCCTGGACGAAATCCTTCAAGGTCTCCACTTTGATTTGTAGATTCTCGAGGGAAATTTCAAAGTACTCTCGTGGCGTTGTTTCTGTCTCCTATGGTGGCCATCACCCTCTTCGATATCGCCGCAGAAAATCCGTTTTGGCAGGCGACGTGACCTCACGTCGTGACCGGTCCATCGTAGTTGGATTTGCCTCAATGTGGCCTGGATACTGGGGATGCTGATTTATTTCAAGACATC